AAGGCAGAGATTCAGCTCATTTTTTCCCACTTTCCCTTGGGGAATTTCCACAAACTTGCAGCTTTTGAACTGCTTTTATTTGGGGGAGGAGGAGAAACAATAAGGTTTTTGCATGTCTTTGAAGACTGTGCAGTTGGCAAAGGTAATAAGGGGGTTGAGGTTGGAAGACCTAATACCCTGCCTCTCACTAACAGGCCCCCCACAGTGTGTGGAGGCACCCAGCCCTCCCTCACACAGCTAACCCTCCAGTGCTGATGTGCATCTGTTCCTGGTGGGTAGATACTTAAGGAGGAAACTGTGGCATGCTGGGAAAATCTTTTTCTTTGGTTCAGACAGATGTGGGCTGTAATCCCTCCCACCTCTGCCACCTCAGGCTAGCTATTTAATCTCCTAAATTTAACATCCCTTACCTATAAAACAAGGAAATGGATGCTTCACAAGAATGCAGTAAGGATTTCAAATAAGTATGTAAATAAGGAATCTAGGAAGAGACCCACACAAGAATCCACTGAAGTTCTTGTGCCTGGCCTACGGTGAGGTATTTGCTGTCATCATTACGAAGTGATTCTTTGCCCAAAAGAAAACCAAGAAAAATTTTAATATACTTTTGTCCTCAGTTTTTAAAAATGTAGGTGATCTGTACAAAGAGTAAAAAGATCTGGAATTAAAATGAGCACTGTGGGGGCGCTGAGGTTGTGGCTCAGTGGTAGAGCGCTCACCCTGCATGTGTGAAGCACTGGGTTCAATCCTCAGAGCCACATCAAATAAATAAATAAATAAATAAATAAATAAATAAAGAAAGGTCTAAAAAAATGAGCACTGTGATGTTATCATTAAAATGCATACTGTAGCTTGATTACACAATTTGGTATGGTCATGTATTTTTTTTTCTTTTTTCTGTTTTTAGAAAGGAATCTCATTGCACCTTACCCCCACTGCTTCCCTGTGGGCTAAATAGGAGAGGCAGATGAATTTGGCAATATCTGTAAAAACAGATCTGGGACAAGATTGAAGCATGAACATACATGGGGAGAACAGATCTTTTCATTAGTCTGTAAATCCCTCTAATTCATGATCTCAATTATTATGTACAAAGAGATTAGTTCTCCTTCCTCTAGATATGATGAGAGCATTTGTTGAAAAGGATTTCATATCTGAAGCATTTCTTTTGCCTTTAGATACAGAAAGGAGAAAAAGGAATTTTATATTTTTTACTATAACAATTCTGGGAAAGGTTGGAAGGAATGAGTGATTAGGATGGATAAAATAAATGTTTAATCAGAATTTGTCATGTTGGGAAATAGTAGGTACAGTTGTAAAGGGAATCAGGACGACAGCTTGAGTTCACCGGCCTTTGCCACTTCTGTTCTGTACCTTCTCATGCAGGTTTTACTGAAGGTTGTGAATCCTTCTCTTAATACTTGATTTACTGAGCAAATATTCACTGAATTCTACCCTCTTATGAGATTCACTTTGCAGACATCGGCCTCATTGTAATATATTGATCTGAAAGATGGGCTTTGGAATACCCACGGCACCATGAGATCTTGGTAAGGTTCTTTACTTTTCCAAGTCTTGGTTTCTTTGTCTGAAAACTATGGGGAAATATAAACTCATCACAGCATTTTTATAGATATCATATAATGTAAACCATGAAAAGCACTTAGTACGCTGTTTGGCAGCATATGCTCAATAAATATGATTTGGCAGTTATATATATTGCTGTTTTCTTAAGTGGCTTTGGGAATGACTTCTATCAGTAAATGCTTTAATAAAATATACGATTTTCAAAGGAAAAGGTACTAATCATATCCTGGAGTAAAAAGTCATTTTAATGTGTAAACAGATTTCTAATTCTCAGAATGTCCTGCCCCCAATTAAGAAATAGCTCTTGGCCACATGTGAATTTTACCGATCAGAAGTGAACAGTATCTCTAGGTAGATACTCCAGTCCCAGTATGGAAATTCAGAACTTCAAGTTTAATGAGAGTCTTTATCCACAGTGACTAAGGATTCCTTTTAGAAAAAGGATAAATATTACTTCTTAGCTAGCATGTACATTTTAGATTCCCCTTCATGTGGAATTCCATGGATGTGGCTTATATGGAAAACGAGACCATGTATTTCTAAATTTAGAAGAAAATTCCATTCCACTGATGAAATAAAAACTTCTTTTCAGAACATGTTTATTTACTGGCCGATCCTATTGGTGTTTCCTGTTAAATTTATCCCAATTCTAACCACCTTGATCTTGCCACAATATTAAAAGCTGGATTTGGCTCTTCTTCAACGCCACCTTGCAGGTCCTGATCCTCTTTTCTTTCCTCTTTTTAACTCCCTCCATTCTCTTTCCTCTATGCCACACCTACCAGATACACTCTTGCTGCTAGTCCATTGGACATGTTTTTGTATTATTATTACATGACCCTTTTTATTGTATCCCCTGTGCCAATAGACTCTTATGTGCCTTGTATTATTTCTCCTCTTGACTTTGGCATTTCTTACAAAGAAATATGTCATTTCAACGGACTTTTTTATTAACAGCAATAGTATTCTAATGTAGTTGGACAAAATCCACAAAAACATCTCATTGACATTCTAGTAAAAGAGTCCGCCAGACTTGGAGAATTTTTGATGGAATACTTGATTTGAAATATACTTAACAACAATGTATTGTATGCTTGAAAATTGCTTAAAGACTAGATTTAAAGTGTTCTCACTACAAAAAATATATGGTAAGTATGTAAAGTGTAATGCATATGTTAATCAGCTTAATTTATCCACTCCACTTTGTATAGCTGTTTCAAAACATCACGTATACTATAAATATGTAGTTTTCTGTTTTTCCATTTTTAAAAACTAATTAAAAGTAATATAGGCGATCCTTGAAAAAGGTTGATTTCTTAAAAGTTGTTTGGAGTTCACTTACTAGTGCTACTCCTCTTTTTCTTTTTTTAAGTAATCCAATTATTATTTGTTGAGAGTTTCTCTGAACCAAGGGTTGAGCTGGGTTCTAGGAACACATCAGTGACTCCTGTATGACCTAGAGTTTCCCACTAGTGAAGTCAAAGGAGTGCCAAGCAGCAAGTCCCAGCACACCAGTCTATTTCCAATGTGGGATAGAAACCCAGATTTTAATAGGGAATCACAAGAGGGACCTGCAGAAATGGGACTGGCAGGTAAAGCATTACAGGCAAAGAAACATTCAAGGGACTGACAAAAATCCAGATGGCTGCACAGCGTTGAATGACAAGAAGTGAAGGTCACAGGTTGGCAGGGACCAGACAGTGCAAGACCTGGCAGGAGTCTGGATCCCACTCTGCAAGGGAAGCAGCTGAAAGGCAAAGAAGGGGGCCATGACCTTGTTCATGTAGGAGCTGTGCCTTGTCCCCTCCTGTCTCCCCAGAACCTGCCTGACATGTAGATTCTCAATAATTTTTTGCTGAAAGGATGTATGAAAAGAAAAAAAAAAAGGAAGAAATACTTGACTTGAACATGTAGGAGCACGCCCCAATGGAAACAGACACTTATTTCCAGAAAGTGAGGGATGTTCTCAGACCCTTTAATGACCCTTTTGCCCATGTCTGTTTTGTGTCCTCTTCTCTAGAGCCAGTTTGAACTAATACAACCTTAGCACCTAATTACTTGAGCACTACCGGGATATTTGGCCTCTCAAAACAAGAGCCATCAGTTTCTAAGCCATAGATTTGAGAGAAATAGATGATTGTTCATTTTTTTCTGCATAGGAAAGAAAGAAAATAACCTGTCATGGAACCCCTAAATGTGCCATTTCCCCAATAGTTGATGGTAATTTGGAGTGTTCTCCTTCATGCTGGGTAACCCAAGCCCAGAAACAGGTCTGGGAAACTCTTGGCTCACCCATCTTCCAGAGAAAGAAACCCAGGCTAGAGTCTTTCTCCTCCTACTTCCTACAAGTTTACCCTAAAAAGCCCAAATCTTGTTTGATTTACACTCAACCATACAGACCTAGGGGGATTCCATGGCTTTCTTTCTGCTTTGCAATTTCTCGCCTCCTCCTTGATTATATTTGAAATCTCTTTCACAAAGGATTTTAAAAATTGAAGAAAGCTAATCATGCAACTCTTTGCCTGACATATTTTAGTGCAAATGACTTTCAATTAAAATGCAATCGCTCAGTCACTAGGTTTAAAGGACTGATATAGATTTCGTTAGTGTTTCTTGACAGGGAGACTGGGAAAGAGAACAGAAGGGCATTGTGCAGGCACAGTGTGGGAGGAAAGGGCTGACGAAGGAGGAAGCTGGAGACCCACTAAAAATGTCTCAATTTTGCTTGAAGAGGATCCTGTGTATCTTCAACTGGGTGCAGAAAACAAAATAAAACAAAACAACAACAACAATCCAAAAACCTCTGTGCACCTGGTTTTTGTGTTCTGCAGCTGCAAGCCCAGGAGCCCTGTCTCATATGATTTATGAAAATGCACTACATTTTTCCTTTTAATGTATGCTCGACTCCATACAAAGGAACGTTTGCCCCTGATGATTCATTAATGAACGTTTGACCTAGTCTTAAAAGGAAGCCAGATAGGATGTTTAATTATTTACAATTGAACATACAGAACATGTGCCTCACCTTTACAGCTAACGATAAATCAGAAGTTACTAGAGAGACAGAACATGGTGAGGGTGTGTGGACATTTCAAACATGAAAAAAGAAAATTTCACCCAAATTGCTCACAAACATGAGGGAATTCGTTAGCATACTTGGGGCTCCCTGAAACTTTTAGGCAGCCAATCATTTTGTCATGATTGAGGGGTTGCGAAGGAAAAAATGGCTTCCCTTCTCAATGCCATTTTGTTACACACTTTTCACAAAGTAGCAAATTTAGCTCAACAGGAAAAGCTCACTGGCAGCGTATTACAATTTATCATCCCAGCCAATATATCTTGTGACTTCATTTTTAGGTTACTGCACCTGTATTATGTACATATGTTAGTAGATACATTATTAATGCAAATACCTTTGCAGACACCTGCATGCTGTTCTCCTGCATGTTCATAATGGCTTCAGAAATCTTGACATCTATGGGGTCCATGACGGACTCAATGTTGAAAGGCCCTTCTAGTCGCTCTGCCACCAAGAGCATTGCATCTGTTGAAATAAGGGACATGATTTATTTGAGAACAGGAGTTTCCAGGTTCTTAATGTGCATTCAAACATTTTCAAAACTGGCTGAAAAATAAATGTTCATGTTCATTTTTTTTTTCTTAATCTTATATAGTCAAAAATAAAATGGAGGACAAAATCTTAAAATCATCACTTTTTAAAATTTCATTTGAAGATGTAAAAATTATTTTACATACATGGAACCAAACTTAAAGATAAAAAAAATCAGTCCAAATGCAGAGACTTGAACATATCTAACTATTCCACATGAAATGAAAAACAGTGTTAGGCCAGGGATCAAGTGCATTCCAAAGCAGTGTCTGGCCTCTCTTCTTTTGGAGCCCAGAAAAATGGGAACCTCAAAGATTTGTTGATCTGTGAATTTGGATGCCCAAATATCAAGACCCAACTCAAGTATATCCACCTATATGAAGTATTTATGGATTTCCCAGGAAAACAGGCCTGTCCCTATACTGTGCTATCACTCTACCCAGCACACCCCTCTGTTTGTGATCTTCAAAATCCCTTGGGGGTGGGAAGGATAAGGGGAATTTCTCTTACTTGGTTTGATACAGTTAAGGCCTATTCTGATGCACATAAGATTTTCAACACTTAAAAAATGTCTATGAAATCCTGCTGAACTGAATTGAATTGAACATTACTCGGGAGTGCCAGTTTTCTGCAGAAGATGATGCTGTTGATATGGAGGCAAGAGCTATGAATTAGGAGTCTGTCTGTCTTTGCTCTGTCACTAACTAGCTGAATGGCATGGGAAATTCTGAGTTTATTAGGTCACAGGTTAGTGAGGTGTACAAGAGGGACTGGTGACAAGGAGTTGACACCACTGAAAACTGTCTATCTTCTGTTCTTGGTAACCAGTATCCTTTGGTAACCTGCTCCCCACCGGGGCTGTGGAATAGACTTTTTTTTTTTTGTGATAATGAAACTGTAGTATTGGAAGAATATTTGTGTCTAGTATGATTGAAGAACTGAATTAATTAATGTAAACATAATTTAAAATAACCATTTGAGACCAGCAGTCACCATATTAAACAGGATAATCTAGACTCAACCTATAGACTCAATAGATCTCGAGCTTTTCAATTGTTAAACTCTTAGAAGCCAATTTTAAACACTTTCCTTTTTTTATTTCAAAATAATCTATGTTTATTATCCAATATTCTCAAAACACATAAAAGAAGAGAAATACACCATAATCCTACTTCCCAGAATAACACTATAAACAGTGTAGTATATGCCCTATGTATTTTTTCTCTGTGCATGAATATTTTAAGCTTGTAATGAAATACAGTATACATATATCATATAATCTGCTTTCTAAATATAATATATTATTAATATAAAAGACTGTTTATAGTTTGCTGTTTTATAGTAGTTCTATGAGGAAACCAAATTTTATTTTCATTACATACCCAACCATGTTCAATCAAAGTCCAACATCAAAAAAATTTTCAGGGTTATAAGTAGCTATGAATTAGGCTGGTAAGAAAGATAACTTTTTTTTTTTTTTTTACATGAAAGATACAGAACTGTCTGGGAAGCAAAACTTTAAAGATCCCCAGGTTTAATAAACAGTATCAGCTTTTATAACTGAGTCTCCCCTGTATTCTCTTGGAATGACCAAGAACTAGAGCTTTCAGTGCTGAAGTGGAGTCAGTGAGTCCCTTCCCCACCTCCTCCACTCCCATGCTCTATCTCTATGATTCTCATGGAGCAAGTGGCCTGAAAAACATAGGCAGGAGCAGGGTCCCATGAAGAACAAATTTCCTGATGTTTTCCCTCAGATAACGGACTTATGTGTGTATGTCATGGGAGGATCTTGTAGCAAAAATAGCTATTTCCCCAGATCTTAATGACCTAATAATTATCTGGCAATGTGGACAGAAGATGGTTGTAGTATTTCAATGTTAAAAATCTTCCTTTAAACTCTTTTCCAATTTTGGTGGCAATGGGCATTAGTAAAACCACTATGTAAATCAGTATGGGGGCTCCTCAAAAGACTGGGCATGAAACCACCATATGACCCAGCAATACCACTCCTCAGTAGTTACGCTGAAGAATCACCTTACAGCAGTGATACATGAATACCCGTGTTTATAGCAGCACAATTCACAATAGCCAAAGTATGAAACCAGCCTAGGTGTTCATCAATGAAAGAATGAATAAAATGGTATATATACACAATTAAGTTTCATTCAGACATAAAGAAAAACAGAATTATGCCGTTTCCAGGAAAATGGATGGATATAGAGACCATTATACTAAGTGAAGTAAGTCAAACTCAGAAGGTCAAGAGACACGTTTTTTCTCCTACGCAGAATCTACAAAGGAAAAGAAAGGTGGACTGGTGGGGTCTCATGGAAATCAAAGGGAGTTTAGGAGAGGAAAGGAACCAAAGGATGGGAGCCAGGGAGGGAAGGGGGAAATGCTGGGGAGTAATAGTGACCAAATTATATTGTTGTATTGTGTGCATGTATGAAAATATAACAACAAATCCCATTAACTATAATGCACAATGGGGAAGCAAAAAAAAAAAAGATAGCAAGCAAAAAAAAAAATTTTTTTTTAAATTTTCCTTGAATATTTTGAAGGACAGCTAAATGTTGTCTGAAAGCTGGTCTGCTTCTTTTTGACTTTATATCTATTTGGTGTGCTTATCAAAAATAATCCCTTTATCATCAAACTTTCCAGCAGGCTTTTTGATGAAGATTAATTATGATGAATGAGCAAGTTTCTCTAGACAGATGTATCATTAAAAAAAATCAAGAAATCCTTATACAGGAAAAAAAAAGTGGTACCATGGAGTTTTCCAACAAATAAAATTAAGGAACTGAAAACCATGGGAAGCTTAAGTCTGTGCTTTATATGCATATCTACATAAATCATCATATAGCAAGCACCAGTCTATTACACATGGTGACGTATCCACCACGAGTAGGTTGAGTTCATACTGTAATAATGCTGGTTTCACTGAAAATGTGGAAGTAGTTGTAGCCTGGGCAAAATCCACCCTTTTGAATTGGATCCTAAGGACCCAACATAGAGTTACAGTTTGAAATTATAGGAGCTAAAACATCTTCAAGAAGGTTCACTTTTGGTTTAAATTAAAATACTCTCTTTCCTAGCAGACTTTCTCTTCTCTAGGGAAGGCAAGTAGCTGCTCAATTTGTATCACGGAGTGGGGGAAGTTTCTCTGGTGATTTCAATCTTTCCACTCCATGTTTCCAAGGCCACAGCACTAGCCTGGTAGCTTCCTGGGCCTGCAAACTCACCTCCCCAAATCAGAGTAAAGTGCTAGGGTGACCCTTTCTTCAGTAGTGAGTTGCTTGTATGGCTATGAAGAAAGGTGACTGTTGATGGCTTACACCAAACACAGCCAATGACTACATGCACCCAAAGACTGCTTGTTCTTGTATTTCCATTCTTGATGTCAATTCATTTGCTTTGTTACACAAATTAACTTAGAATGGTGCATTTTTAATGTTTTTATTAGTGCATTGTAACTATGCATAATAGTTAGGTTCATTTGACATGATCATGGATGCACTGATTGTAATTTGCCCCATTATGATCTCTAGTGCTTCTTTATTCCTTCCCCTCCTCCCTCCTTCCATGTCCCTTCCTCTACCCTATTGGTCATCCTCCTATTTATCTATTTATTTAGCTTTTTAATTGGTGATTTACAGATATATATATAAAGGTGAAGTTCATTGTGCTATATTCATTGTATGTACTTAGCATAATTTCTCAATTTTCACTCCACAATTCCTCCCTTTTCTTGTTCCTCTTTCTCCCCATCAATCCTCTTCCTCTACTCCAAAGATCTCTCTTATTTTTTCATGGGTTACTTGCCTCCCCTACATTTTATTTCTTTATTTCTCTCTAGCTTACACATATGAGAGAGAAATCATAAGATGATAGTTTTTTTGATGTAAGGATGTGTCTATTTTTCTTTTAATTTAGCTCATCAGTCAGAATATGCTCCTTATTTTTAGCTGTTTGTTAGAGGGTGTAGGTTATTTGTTTTGTTTTATAGATAAAATGTTTAGCTAAATAAAGTTAGATTGTCTTTCAAAGACTCAAAGACAACATGGATTGGCTCAAAAACCTCAGTATCACCATTATATAAAGCAATGAACATTTAGTTAATAATACTATGTTGTACACTTAAAAGTATGTTGAAAGGGATTTCAAACTTATCATCATCATCATCAAAAGAGTAATTTTAGAAGCTTTTATTAATCAAAATACTAATGATATAGCATTAACTAGTACAAATATACACAAATAAATTGAAACACTATATCCCTTTTAACTAAAAATATGCAAATTATTTAAATTTCTGGAAAACCTCAGATAAAAATCATGTCTGGATAAAATGACATCTATATAACATCTAAATAACATCCAGATAAAAATAACAGGAATACTGATTACAGTTACACTTAGGTTATTGATAAGAGCAGGAGAATGGCTAACAGTCATAAATAGTGGGTTTGGGGAGCTTACAGTTTTTCTACTATAAAGTTGTTTGTGAAAATAAGGACTGATAGAACATCAGATAAGTTCATGCAAATAACTCATATATATGTGTCCACAAATATAAAAGAAATTACAAATAAAAAATACATGTACCTATATGATATTACCTCTCCCACCCTTGGTTTTCATGTTTGCTCTAAATAGGCACAACATAAAAGGAAAAGCAGCTTTCAGAACACTTTACCAGTATTTTGCAAGTCACTGTAAAAGTCATGCTTACAGACTGCCTTTAAGAAGCTAGTTCAGGCATATTGTCAGGTGAGGAATTCACAGAGGAGGGTCGGAGTTGTTTCATCCTGGATCTGAGAAAAGGTCTGAAGAAAAAGGCAGCTTCTCCTAGGCCTCAGGTTTCAGCTCCCAGTTGGGAGAATGTCTCCACAGTCCACTGAGCAGGGGGAAGCATCGCTGCTTGTCTAGTTTGC